TTTCACTAAATAACATAGGTTTTATGTATAGAAAAAGGGCTGCAGAAATTTGTAATCCATACTTAGTGTATGGTATGGTTTTGTTGCAGCTTTATTAGTAATATTGGTGTTGTGATGATGATGATGATGAAGAAGATGGTGTAGGGCTATCAATGTAATTATTAGTATTTATATAATAAATTTAAACTAGTATTAATACCATGTACAACATGAGTATTGAGATAATAAATATATGTGTAAAGTTATTTATGTCTAATACTAAACTTAATTTCAGACCAAAAATGATATAAAGCAAGATCACGAAGTGTAGATTTTCTCAGCATTCGAAACGTGAGAATCTACCACCTAAGCTCAACACGTTTTAAATTAATATATAAGGAGGAATATATATATATAGTTTTAGGTTAGTAAAACTGTGATTTGTTTAGTTCTGTTGTTCTCCCCTTTCCCAGTGTCTTGTTCAATTCTAATTCATGTTTATATGAACTATAATTGAATAGAAACAGGGACTTGTTGAAAGTGTTCAAGTTTTAAATTCAAGCCTTGAAAACCCAGAAAAGGTGTAAAAGAACATGTCTAATAGAATCCTATTAAACCCAGAAAGGAGTAGACATGGCCAGGTGCCGGGTTTTGGCCCGGCCCGACGGGCCACTGGCCACGGGCCAGCCAACCCACGAACCACAACCGGCCCGCCAAAAAGTAAGGGCCGGTTCATAGAACCGGCCCGAACCGCCGGTTCACCGGCCCGGCGGTTCGGCCCGGGTTCAGCCCTTAAAAAAATCAAAGGATTTGGCCCGGCCCGGCCCGGCGGGACAAAACAAAAAAAACCGTGACCCTTAACCGAACCGGATTGGCCGCGGTTCGGTTCTCGAACCCGACACTATTCATGCCGGTACCGGTACCGGGCTGGACGGGGCCGGTACCAGGTCACGGGTCGGGCCACGGGCCGGGCCGTCCGTGGCCATGTCTACAAAGGAGCAAAAGGACATGTAATAAACTAATAAATCATAGTCAATAAAGCATTGAAATCAAGAAAGGCTCCAAAAAAAGAAAATGGAATTTATTAGGTTAGTCCCCTCAGGAAGCAAGCAATTCTATTTGCATATCCAGTTGGGTTAATTCCAAGAACTGCACTAAAAAATTAGATTTTTCTTTTTTATTATTTGTGGCATAGGGTGTCAATCAATTTTGTTGTGAAGCCATTGGATTCTTAATTTCGGTTCTTCAGTTCGGTACAATAAGAGACGGTTCCGTTCGATTCGGTTCTCGGTACGGATATTTGTGAAATCTCCAGAACCGTACTAATTATTTTTTCTATTCGGTTAGTTTCGGAGAAAGTCAAACGGTCAACGCTCGGTTCGGTTTTCGAAACGGTTCGAAATTCTCCGAATCCCATGCTCAGCTCTAGCTACTTGTACTCCACCAACTCTGAGTTCCGAATCAGCAATACCTGCGCAACCCTGATGCTAGTGACACTCAATTTATATTTTTCTTTTCTCGAGTGAACGACTCGATTTACGGAGTCATTCACACTTATAATTCACCAATAGTGTATTGACGTGTCCTACAATAAAATACAATTTAGACAAATGTCAATACATTAAGTAGTGAATGGTTCCATAAGAAAATCGGGTGCAATTTTGCTACAGAGTCATCAGATGGCTCGACTTATGGAGTCATCTACACTTATTCATCAATAGTGTATTGACACGTGTACTACAATAAATACAATTTGGACAAGTAATTAAGTAATGAATGGCTCCATAAAAATATCAATCGATTGGCTCCATATTTTTTTTTTTTTGGTGTCAATTGCCCTTGTTCTTATCTAACCAAAGTTTGCATTACTTGAAAGAAAAGATTAGTAAGTTGAACATTTGATGGTAATTGTGATTTAAGCATTTGATATTTTGTAGAGAAGCTGATGTTTGTAACACTTATCAGGAATTTTAAAGTATTTTGTTTAATATAAATATTTTTTTTTTTTGTGGTACAAAGAATGAATCAATGAGTTAGATAAGAAACTCCGATAACATCATGCATAATCTATTCTCCCACACTGGGAAGAGAAGGCAACACATGAAATTTATGTATTTGGAGACTGTGTTTGTTTAGATTTGAATAGAAATTTAGGGAAGAAAAATAAAAATAAAAATGGTAGGGTGCGAATCCATGTTTTAAATACCGGTTCGTACCGGCCGGTAATACCGATAATACCGGATACCGGTGGTCCGACCGGTACATTTACACTCAAAATACTGTTTTGGCCAAAATACCGGTTTCGTACCGAAAAATACCAGTTTTACCGGCAAATACCGGCTAAAATACCGGTCAGAATACCGGTTTATGCCATTTTTTTTTTAAAAAAATATTTTTAATAGATTTTTATTATTTTATTTATGTAAATTGAAATTTCTACACTAATTTTAATATGTTTATATTGTTATTAGATGTTAATTTATTTTAGTATTAATTAAAGTTAGTTTTGTATATTATTTATATAATAATAACAAATTAATTTAATATTTATTAAAATCGGTAAAATAGACAGTAATACCGGTCGTACCGGTAATACCGCATACCGGTCGCTACACCAGTATGACGACCGATACGGTTTTTAAAACATTGGTGCGAATGATGAGGGTGGCGAGGCGGTGGAATAGAAAGTAAGGTAGGTCGTGAAATAGGGAAAAATGAAGGAAATTGTCAAATTTCAAGGCCCACACACGTTTTTTTAATTATTAAATAATATTATTAAATAATAATAATTTTTTTATTATTAAATAATATTACCTACCAATAATTTTTTTTTATTATTAAATAATATTACCTACCAATATTATTCAATAAAATTTTCAGTGGGACCCACCACACCGGCCTCATTGCTTTTGCGTCGCTGTTTCCTGCTTTGCCCCTATTTGGAAAATATCGGTTTCATTGAATTGAAAAGGCGATCGCTTGTTCGGTTAGCTTATAAGTTTCAAGTTCTTTGTCCTTCTCTTATTAGGGATCACTTATTCGATTAGCTTATAAATTTGAAGTTATATGTCCTTCTCCTATTAGGGTAGTATTCAAATAAGTTTTTTTTTTTAAAAAAAAAATTCTAGTTTATTTGATAAGCAACTTTAGATATCTTTTCAAATAAGCTAGTTGAAATTTTTATTTCAGCTAGCATATCAACTAATTTTACCAAACATTTTTATCATATAAATTAGTTTTTCAGCTATATATTAAAAGCTATAAGCTAAAAAATTACTGACAAATTATAAACTAACTTATCAGCTATCAGTTAACTTATAAGCCGACTGCACATCAAATGTACTTATAATAATAATAATAATAATAATAATAATAATAATAATAATAATAATAATAATAATAATAATTGTACCGATAGATTTCACGTGTCTCTCATTTTTGTGCGAACCACACATGACTTGTGAGGTTGATATGAGATTTGACTAGGATAAATATTTTTGGCGGTTTTGCCAATATCATTTAATGTAGTCTTAAGAGCATCATTAATAACATTTGAAATGCCCCAATTCTATTTTAGTTATATCTTGGTTCATATACTTTTTTGGGTCATTATACCCTAAGGTACCCTTCACCCTCTGAAATTATGACATGTGTTATTTCAGTTCCTTAATTTTTTTTTTTTAAAAAAGTATTAATTAAACAGCTAAATTACCATTACTTGAAAACTAGTGAAAAAAAAAATTATATGGTACCACAATTTTGGCTATGTTTGGTAAAACTAGCTGATAAGCTAGCTGATGGCTGATAAGCTAGCTTATAGCTTATATGTAATTTTCGAGCTTATAGGGTGTGTTTGGTAAAACTAGCTGATAAGCTAGCTGATAGCTGATAAGCTAGCTTATAGCTTATATGTGATAAGCTAGCTTATAGCTTATAGCTTATGACTTATAGCTGAAAAGCTAGCTTATATGATAAAAGTGTTTGGTAAAATTAGCTGATAAGCTAGCTGGAATAAAAAATTCAACTAGCTTATTTGAAAAGCTACGTAAACAAGCTTATCAAATAAGCTCGAGCTTTTTAAATAAGCTCGTCCTACCGAACGAGGCTTATTTGAATACAGGAAGCTTATAAGCTAACAAAATAAGCTACAAGCTAACTTATTTGGTTTACCAAACATAGCCTTTGTCTTATTTTTGCTTTTGGCACCCAAACTTCTAGCTTAATTAGTTCTTAGACCAACCAGAAAAATGACATGAAATTAAGAAAAGAATATGAAAATTTTTGCAGAAAATATCATTTCGATCTGAAGGTTCATATGAATTCAAAACATCAAATTGATTAATGCTTAATGTTGCTCATAAAAAGATGAACATAATGAGAGTTCATCATCCAAATTCGGACAACCGAGTCGTCGGTTGAAGTATTCATCCCGTAGCCGCGGGTTGTCGAAAATTTAAAAGCTTCACTTACGTTTTCCTGACTATTTAAAGGAATGATCTACGAGCGAGAGATACCGTTAGATTCCTTATGAAAAGAGATATTTGTGCATATAAGCTTCACTAATATCCAACGGTCGGGTCTCCGACGACATTCCAAAATAATTTACAACGTAATTTTTTTTTTTTTGAAACTCTAATAACAATTTAAAGAAGTGTAACAACAAAATTTATGGAAAACATAAAACTTTCTGTACAACTTGATTTATATTTCGATCAAAAGATATTGCGGGTACAATCTCTTTCCTTATCCTAAGATTTGACTTGATGGGCAAGAAATAATAACTTTTATTAATTAAATATCTTATTTATTATGGGTTCCTGTCCCAAAATAAAAAAAAAGACATTAAATAATAAAATATTAAAATTTCGATGTCTACAAATGCCCCCTTGAGACTTGTTCACGGACAAAATGTCTTGGTAGTGAATGAGTCTCAAAATTTTGAATTTGGTTTGGACATGCAGATAGTTTAGACTCTTATCAATGAGTTCTTCATTTGACTTAATTTGTAGATAGTTTATACTCGTATCATGAAGTTCTTCATTTGACTTGATTTGTAGATAGTTTATACTCGTATCAAAGAGTTCTTGATTTGACATAATCTGTAGATAGTTTAAACTCGTATCAAGGAGTCTTGATTTGATTTGACAGATAATTTATACTCGTATCAAGGATTCTTCAATTTTGTAGACATTTTATGCTCGTATCAAAGAGCCTTCAATTTTGTAGACATTTTATGCTCGTGTCAAGGAGCCTTCAAATTTTACATGTAGACCATTTATTCTCGTGTCATGGAGATCTTGATATGTAGACATTTTATGCTCGTGTCAAGGAGCCTTCAAGTTTAATATGTAGACATTTTATTCTCGTGTCAAGGAGATCTTGATA